CCCCATCCCCATCCTCATCCTCATCATCATCATCATCATCATCATCATCATCATCATCATCATCATCATCATCATCTCCATCTCCATCTCCATCTCCATCATCATCACCATCATCATCATCATCATCATCACCATCATCATCATCATCTCCATCATCTCCATCATCTCCATCATCTCCATCATCCCTACATCTGCTTTCGCCATTTCGCCACGTCTCACCTGCATAGCTTTGTGCCTCCGTGTTACGTCAGACCTCATCCCCGCTTCTACCCAGTCCTCTGATCACCCACCCCTGTCCCCCACCCCTGTCCCCCACCCCTTTCACCCACCCCTGCAACCTACGATCAACCAGCCGATCACCCCGCCTCCTGCTCACCCTGTCAAGATCGGACGGCGGACGGCGGCCCGGGCCGGCGGGCCCGGACGGCGGCCGCGGCGCCGAGCGCGTCTGATCCGGACTCGGCCGGGACTCGGCCCGGAGCGATCGGATCCGTCATCATGGCCCGTTCAGACAGGCTCTCAGTCGCCCGGCCGCCGCACTCAGCCAGTGAACTTCAACTCAGTCACTTGGTCGCCGGGTCCCCGGCTCCCGGGCCGGCCGGGGCCGCCGCGCCCCCGCCCCCCCCCCCCCCCGGAGTCAGACAGCGATCGTACTCAGACTCAGCCTGCCAGCCTGGCCCCTGACTCGGGTCACGTGGCAGTATCGCAACTTAGCGGCAGACTAGAGTGAACAAGTTAGCGGCTGAGCGCGGCCGCTCAAGCAGCCGGGCAGTTGGACTGAGCGCGTGGGAGATGTGACATGGTTCAGTCAAAGACGGTCCATTGAACCAAACCGTGACATCGGATACTATGATAGCTGACTGCAGGTGTGAGCATCTTGATATCAGGATCACGAAAAGCACATGATGCGCATGATAGATGAGTTTGCAAAACAATGCTGATCATGTCAACAACTTGAAAGCGAAGAAGATCGAAATGTTTCTCAGCTACACTATATTCAACAAGATCATTCAAACGACCATTCCGAACATGATGTAAAATAGAGACATAGCAATAATATTGAATTCTGTTCATTACTCCACACCTTTGCTACTAAAGCCAATTTACGAGTAAGTGACGAAGTCGGCAGCAGCCTTGGTGACGGCAGTTCCGGCGCACCTGGTGGCAAAAGCGTGAGGGAGAGGAGATCAAGAAGAACCACTTTACATGAAGGAGACATCGCTGCAGGCCGAGTTGAGGACAGAGTCGGTGTAGCTCTGCATGGCAGCGGCAGGAGGAGCGGGCTCGATGATGTCGGTGACAGAGAGCTGAACGAACTTGCGGATGTCCTGCAAGGTTGAAGTCAATGCGGCGATCCATGATTAAATGGACTCGCAAACATGTTCCATGCAGATCTACACGGCTATCAATGAATACATCAAACATGCATGGCTTGGTGGTGAACCGCAAATCCTCTCTGCATGTGCTGATTTATAGAATGCGAATTCTCACACCCTTTCTGTACATGTATGTACTGATTCACAGAATGTGGATCGTAAACAGGTTCATGAGGCATGTACAGACTGTCCCACAACAAATAACAAGCTGTTGACTGGCGAGAAAGTGGAGAAAGCCTGTTAAACCCTACAAATTCTAAGAAGCTGAATCAATTTGTTCTAAATGAAAGTTTGAAATGAAAGACTCGATGAAATGATTGCAAGTGCAAACCATTAAAGCACAATCATCATAGTGTATCGAGACAACAAATGATAGTAAAAAACACTTCAAGAATGAGTTGGAGGAACAACATTGTTTGCTAATGAGGAGCGGATCAAGAATGAGAGCTGTTACAGGCTGCATGATCCATGCATGGCTTCGCCCATACCTGGAACATGTCGATATGCGAAAGGAAGGCGGCGGCGGTTTAAAAAGGGGTGGGGTACCTCCCTGGTCCCTTCGAGAGGGTTGAGATACACTACAAGTGCAATTATGGAGGTGGGGTACTCAAAAGCAGGGGTGCTTGACGGGAAAATGTCCGAGAAGAGACATCGATTGGTAGGTAGGGTCATACTTCACGGGGTAAGATGGACGGTGGGGGCGAAATCGAGAGGGTGGGGTGGTCATTTCAGGCCTGTGCTGTGCACTTCGGGGTCGGGGTCATTAAGCGGCGGACCTATTTTGGGTCCAGGGCGGATAGAGTAACTAGAAGCACCCCCTCCTTCTAGTCATTTTGAGTGGTAAATAGGGGGGTACCGTAGGTCCGTGGGCCGCCTTCTGCCTTTGCCTGTGGTAAAAAGGAGCCTCATCAGTTGACAACCCCGGGAACCTCAGTGCCTAGGTGCTGGGGGAGGGGGTACTGGTGGGTTTCGGAACAGAGGGGTGGTGGGGACTTCTGCCTAATATTACTAGGGTGGGCATGGGTAGGGGGTCACACCTGGAGGGGTGGGGGTACTAGACATGCGGCGTCACTCAGCGATGTGCTTCGGAAGCCGCCGTCTTGTTCTGATGCGGGCCTGTGACGGCTAGCCCGGTCGGCCCGGGGCCCGGTTGAACGATTGGCCGCCCGCCGGGCCGCGACACTCAGTCACTCGGCATCGGCCCGGCCGGCCGGCGGTTGAACGATTGGCGGGCACTGACTGAGTCACTGAGTGTCGCTGCCGCAACTACTTGATGACCGATCATGTGCCTCGAGCGCAGTTGAGGCTGCCATGCCACAGCGTCACAAGTCATGGTGCCGGCCGCGGCCTCTATTGCCGCGGCACCGTAATGACAGTGCCGCCCGGCCGGGCCGGGCGGCTGGCCGCGCGCCCGCCGGGGGGGGGCCGCTCGAGCCGGCGGCCAATCAGGAGTTCACACAGTGCCACGGTGACCGTTGAACCGGCACGGTACGGCGGTCACGACTGGTCGAGCTTACAGGGTTTATCAAGGCAACTCGTTATTCACACTTGGCTCCCCTCCTGCTTTCTTCCCTCCCCCTCCGGCGTCCACCGTCTTCTCTCAGCACTGGCCCGTCACGAATTCGGGGCTAGCGAGCAGATGAAGGTTTGGGATAGGAGGGACGCGAGTCGAACATGGAAGGACGTTCCTTTCTCGCCATGGGACCCGGGTGCGGGGGGACCCACGGCGGCATCGGGGGCCAGACTGGGGTAGGTAGTTCAGCTCCCTCAGGTTTGCCGTCCTGCATGTCCAGCGACTCTGCAGAAAAGGTATCAGGAGGCAGCAGCCTCCTCTTGAGACGCTCACCTGCTACCCTTCGATGCTCACGCGCCACCTGCAGCTCCCGATGGAACTCCCTGCTCCTTGGCGAGAGCGAGCTGTCTCTGTGAGGAGGAGGGATCATGGCCCTGTGGGCAGGGTCAGTAGACGAGGGGAGCAAGGTCTGGTACGACCTTTCTGCGCGAGGACTTCTGGATCGAGATCTCCTCGTCCTCGGAGAGTCCGGGCCAACATGGAACGGCCGAGACAAGCGGAACGCCGCCTCCCTCTCCCGCGAGAGCTCCTCTCTCTCCCTCTCCCTCTGCAAGCTCGCACGGGATAGCCCTTCCTCCATGAAGCCTCTGCCATCCATGAAGCCAGGGCGGGGGGACTTGCACCTGCGTCGTTGGAAGAAGGGCTGGGGAGCATCGGCGAACTTGGGAGGGCGGTAGCCTCTACTGAGTGGCCCCCGATCCATGTCCCGCTCATGCATCATCGAGAACTTGTTCTCCTGCTTGTAAGGAGGAGGCTGGTCGGTCGGCAGCTGATCCCATGCCGAGCGGCGGAAGTAGGCGGCCTGGTCATGGAAGGGCCTCTGCAAGTGCATGTCTCTGCCCATGTCCAGAGCTCCCCTCCCTGCCATGAAGTCCATGGGGACGGCGCTCGGCTCCCCCTGGTAGCCGAAGGGCATCTGGGCAGGAGGCTGGTTGACCCTCGTGGCTGCAGCGACGTGATCGACAAACGATCTGATCTCGTCTTTCACTGAAACGCTCTGAGCTCCTGGCCTTCTCTGCTCCTCCTGGCTGGCCGCTGGCTGCGCCTCCGTCCCGACTGCTGGCCCAACTTCCCTCGCCTGTCCTCCTCCTTGCGCCTCCACACGCTCAGGCTGCGGCGCGTCCCGACTTGCTCCGCTCCTTGAAGCCTCAGGGTCCTTCCGCCAGCTGCTTGCGATCCTTTCCAAGTGGCCTCCTTTCTCATGCTTCAAACGATACCCGCCCGCAGCCCCGGCCTTGGTACTTGAAGGCTCCACTTCCTTCCTCGGAGGAGCTGCCACGGGCTGAGCCTCGAGACTCCACAGATGCAGGATCCTCTTGACAAGAGGGAACTTCCTGCGGTCTACCGTTCGCCTCTTCGGGTTCAGGCGGTTCTGGTTGGTGGCCTTGGCCGCATTGATCCAGGTTTGAGCATCCAGTCTCACTGTCTTCACCTCCACCTCCTTCTCTGAGACTTCGGAGTCCCGAGGGATCTTGAGGAAGCGAACACAGGGCGCTCTTTTCTCCGCTCCTGCCTTGAAGGCGCGGAGGAGGAGGAGGCCCCCGCCAGCAGCGATCTCCATCGCCTGTCGCTGCTTGTCCGTCAACTTGTAGCAAGTCTTGAGCATGTTCCCCATCCTCACGCCATGGCCCTTCGTTCCTCGCCACTGCTGGTTCGCTCCGGACGTGTTGTGGTGCGAGAAATGTTTGTTGACATGATCGTGGTCGGACTTCGTTCCGTCCTCTGCTGCAGCATCTTCAATCTTCGTAGAATGATCCGCAGAGTCGGCCGAACGCTCCTGCACCTCCTGGGCAGCAGATGCGCTTGCACTGTCTGCAGTCTCCCCGTCTCCTCGAGCTCCCTGACCAGCTGCATCGTTCGCGCTGCCGTGCGATTCATGCTTCACGTCCGCGCCCTTAGCATGGGAAGACTTCGACTCCACCCTCTCTGCCCTCCCGTCATGGCCATCACCATCATGTTTCTCCCGCGGAGTTCCAGGGTTTTCAAGCCTCTGCTGCCTCCTCTCCATCTCTTCAAACTGTCGCATGTAGGCGAGCATCTTTCTCTCTTCTCTCGAGAGAGTTTTCTCGTTCTGAATTTGTTCACCAATCTGAGAGGGAAAGTCAGCCATACACTCACATGCAGACAGCAAATCGCCGGCACAGTACCTGCTTCTTCTGTTTCTTCTTTGAGTCTTTCTCCTTACCGGGGGTGGCCACCTCTTCGTTCTTTTCAGCGTTCTCCCTTTCCCGCTTGGACTTGTTGATCTCCCCAGCAGTCTTGTCCTCGCCCTCCACCTTCACCTTCTCTCCCGCGTTCGCCTTCTTAGCGTTGGGCGTGGACTCTTGGCCTTTCTTTGCCTTGGCGTGTTCATGATGAGCCTTCCCCTTCTTCGAGCTGCCGGGCTCTTGTTTCCGGGGAGTCTTGGGCTCCGGCTTCGTCTCAGTTCGGTGGCTCTCACCTCCTTTGACAAGACTTTGCGATTTCTCCGCGCTCTCGCTCCTCTCAGTGCTCTCTGACTGCGAGAGGCCCAACAACATCGCAACAGCCTCGTTGTCATCAGTCCTGTTCGGTTGCCCGGCTGCCTTCTCCTCCGCACCGCTAGCTTTCGGGTAGATCTCCGACTCAGTCCTCAACATGTCAACATCGCCCATGACAGGAACTTCGCCAAAGGCTGCCGCTGCAAGGGATGCTACCAACTGCTGATCATCCGACAACTCTGCGTTGATGCTCGGCTGAGCTTCAATCTGTGATGAGTTCTGACTTGGTTTGACTTCTTCGCTCTTTTCTTCAGTCGTTGACGTGGCTTTCCCTTCGTTCTTCTCTCCGTCACTTTGGTCTTTCACTTCCTTCTTTGTTTCTTCACTTTGACTCACATCCTTGCTGTGTTCAGGTTCGCTGACTTTCACATCAATATCCGTGGTTGCAACCGAGGTTTTTCCCTCTTCAGTTTTCTCATTTTTCACATGCGCCGCGGATTCTGCAGGTTCCTTAGGTGCAATCTGGAACGGATTGTGTTCTACATCGGGTGTTTCTTTCTCTACAACCTTCTTGTCTTCAGCACCATTGTCTCGTTCCTTCTCCACTTCACCACTAGTGTCTGTATCCTTCCGAGAGACATCTTGTGCTGCTACCGCCTTCTCCTCTTTATGCTCCTTAGATGACCCTTCCTGTGAGACCACCGCTGCTGCTGCTTTTTCCTCATTTCGCTCTGACTTCTCTTCCGTCTTTGAGCTCTCCCCTGCATCGTTGACGTCTGTGCTGGCATCAGATGAAGGCTGAGGACAAGCATCCTCCGACGATGGTTGTGCAGCTGGATCTTGCGCTGCTTCCATTCTCACCGCGAAATGCAACCAACTCTTCCTTGTTTCCACAAGCCCTAACTACTTTTTGAAACAGGCCTCCTTGACAGTCTCAACTGACTTTCAGTTTAGATTTATGGCCAGCTTTCCTCTTGGCTTTAGAAGGCATATCTCCTGGAACGAGATCTTCAGGGCCATCGTCAAGGAAACAAGATGTGATAAGAAAGAGATATCAAATTGCAAACGGGAACGAAAAAAAATCAAATCTCAACCCGTCTTCAGAGCGCAAATCGAAACCTCTAGGAGTTCTGCATCTACATCAATCCTCAATGATCTTTTGCCTCCAAGATACTGCGCTATAACCGCTCGCACTCAACGAAGAGCTCGAAGTCTTGTACTTGCTGATTGTGTATCAAAAAAAGAAAAAAAGACACCATGGAGCAACCGTCTCGTGCATGTCACACCCCAGTCCCTCACCTCTTCCCTCCATCTCATCACTCGTATCATGTTCCTCTCATCCTCCACCTCACTGCGCCTGCTCTCCGCTGTCCCACAGCCCCCACCCCTGTAACGTCCTCCCCTGCCACGTGACAGCTGACAATAGTGCTGTACCGCCCATTCTCACTATACCACCACCCCTTCCCGCCTCTCTTTCTGACCCATATCCTCCTGCCTTCGCTCCTCCTCTTCCTCTCTCTGCAAGACTACGACTTCCAACCTGCTCCTGTTTCAGGCCTCTACCTCTCTTGGTCCCCCATCCCCCTCGTCATCCGTCTCCTACCCTCCTTCTCTCCTGCAGCTTCTGCTCGCGTCCCTGCCACTCCTGCTCCTGCTCCTGTATGACTCCTTCAAGCTACCATCCCATACCGACCCTGCTTCTTCTCGCCCCTCTCCTCTCCTAGCGTCGCGCCCTGCATCACCCGTTACATTTCTTCCTCCTTCAGCTTCCTTTCATCTGCTCAAACATCCTTCTACTTCGACTGCTAGTGATTCCTCCTATCTCTTCTTATCGCTAGTCTCTTCTCCCTTCTCCGCCTCCTCTCCCTCGCCCCTCCTCTTTCTCCTCCTCCTCTCCCCCTCCCCCACTCTCCTGCCGTACATTCCCTTCCCTCTCTGCCACCGTTCACTGCCCCATTTCAAAATAATATCCAAAGATTATCTGTCATCTTGAAATAATCACTGTACTATTGAAATATCCTTCGAAACCTATATATACCGTCGCAAGTTTGAAATTGCCGTATAAACTTTGAAACGTTAATTGGAGATTTCAACTGAGCGTTGCTGGGAATCCACGCGGCTCCTGCAGTCGCATGGTCGGCACAGGCTTGTCCTGCTGGGAAAGAGCACACAGGGAGGAGGAGGCGGAGCGCAGAGCGTCTGCTAGTGCTGCTCTCTTCGTCTCTTGCTTCTCAGCTGTTCATTGGCATATCAGACGTTAGCTGGCTGATAGCTGACAACCGAGCGTTCGACGTGCTCTAGATCTTCGTTTTTCATCGTGCATCTGATAACCGAGATGAGCCGCGACTTGGTTGGTGACAGGAAGAGGAAGAAGGAGGGCAAAGATGAGGAAAATAGTGAGTGTGTGGTTGACTGGTCCATCTACCCTAAGCCGAAGTCGCCTCGCTCTCGCATCCTCCTGTTCGTGTCTGTAGACGTACATAACGAAAAGTTGGACTTGAAAGGAGAGCACAGCAAGATCCGTTCCATCATGTGCATGTATGCAGATATCAAAGACCTCGCAATGCCGTACTTGTCTACTTGGGAAGAAGCTATGAAAGAGGTGAAGTTGCGGAATCCAGTGATTCTTCACTTCGCTTGTCATTCGCAACAAAATGCTGTCAATCTTCTTCGCCGCGACGTCTCTCCAGATGTCATTGTGGAGTGTCTCCAAGCTCACAACGAGGAGATGGAGAGATCAGGAAGTGAACAGGTGCAGCTGGTAGTCTTCAATGCATGCTACTCCGACGAGCACGCGAACAAAGCAGCAAAGGTCGTTGACTTCTCGGTCGGACACAATGGACAGTTGGACGACGAAGACGCGTTAGCGTTCACCGAGAACTTTTACACATGCCTGTTCCGAGGAGAATCTCTGTCGAACGCAATGACGCAAGGGAAAGGAAGCATTCCCGGGTACAGGATGTTTGGTCGCCGGGATGCAAGAGAGTTTCGATTCCCAAGTCCGACCTTGCACGGGAAGGAAGCAGGAGCGGCAAGCCGAGAAGATACGGAGATGGTGAAGTTTTACAGGGACTCGGGATTCACGATGAAGAGGGCTCTAGAGATCTGCGAAAAGCTCGAGATCAAAGACTGGACAGTTGAGGACCTAAGGTATCTTGAGGATGACAAACCCAATGTGGACGACCAGCTGCGGGACATTGGGTTGCATTCTTATCAGAGGAAGAAGTTCTGGGACGATGTGAGGGCCAAAGTCAAAGAGATACAACTCCGCACAGCGAATCTTAGCTCGAGCTCAGAAGACGAGAGCGAGGTTTCGGAGGCTGACACGCTCTCCCAGTCCACCATGAGCGATGAAAGTGACAGTGAGGACGAAGCGAGCCAGGGGGAGGTCATCGTTTCAAGGAACCAAGGACACAAGGAAGTCTTCGAGGCTGACATGCGGCGTTTCCTGCAAGAGTTTGGCAGGTTCACAGGGAACTTTGAGGTTTCAGTGAAGGACGGCGAGGGGGCGATGGAGACTGTGAGGGAGGGTAAGCCCCCCCAAGCTTGGACCATGTGCATGCTGTTGTGGTTGAGGGTGGTGAAGGATGCAAGTGTGAAGGACAGGGCCATGGAGATATGGTACGACCACGTCTTGTCTGCCTCCGAGGACGAGCTGCTCTCCAGGTTGAATAGTATGCTCGTGAAAAACCACATTCAGCACAGGCACTGGGATAGGACCAAGTTTGTGGAGTGGGACTGCGAGAAGCACTTTGCAAGAGTTGTGTACTTGACGGATCAGGTTGTCAAGAATTCCATTCCTAACGATGCGCCCTGCAAGTTGGAGTGGAACGAGAAGGTGATGATGGATTGGAACAAGAACGAGGAGAAAGCGTTGGATGTCTTGAAGAGGATCAACAAGTTCCTGTGGTCGCAGGCAGAGTCTATCCAGGTCTTTACTGACGTGATCGAGACCCAAAGCTACGTCTGCTACATGCGCATGGAAAAAATCGTGTCGATGATCCTGTTTGAGTACCTGGAGACCTGCAGGAAAGTTGCGGAGAGCAGTTCTGAGGGCAAGGCAGTCGACCCGTCGCTCTTCCAGGGTTTTACCCTGTTTGTGTCCACATCCTCCAGGTCCTTTGTCATGCAGAAGATAAAGTCAGAGCGTCTGCGGGAGATAAGATCGAACCTCCGCGTTCTCTCGATCCTTCCTCCTCCCCTGCTTACCTCCATGGGGCCCGTTAGAAGGGCGGAGGAGCTGCTGGAGGAGGAAGGGAGAAGCACGCTGACTGCTCATCAGAAGGAGAAGGCGAAGGAATGCGAGGAGGCGATGGGAAGGAGGAGAGGGGTACACCTGCGAGGCCCGGCGGGGACAGGAAAGACGTTCTTGGCGCTGCATATGATGTTGAGGGAGCTGGAGAAGGACAAGACTTGCACAATCCTCTTCCTTCTGCGGTCCGAGGCCTTTGTGTTCTTCATCGCTCACTGGGTGTGGTCCATGGTGAGGTGGAAGCTGGTAGACCATGGCCTCTTCGACCGGATCTTCTTCTCCTTTCGAGGGGAGGACGGTTGGGATGGGCCGTTCTGGATGACGGAGGAGGGAGCAGGAGAGCTTAGGAGGGAGGAGAAGAGGGTGGAGCTGCTGAGCGAGGAGGAGTCGGAGTACAAGTTTGTAGTGATCGACGAGGCCCATCATGTCTTCTGCGACAGGGAGGCAACGGACTTCATCGAGAGGAAGAATTACGACAAGTCAACGATGCTGCTCTTGTCAGACAGCTCGCAGGCGGATGTGACGAACATCTCCTACCCTCCAGGCCTGCATGACGTAAGCCTGACTGAAGTCGTCAGGAACAGCAATCGGACGATGACGGCGTCTCTGCTTTTTCAGAAAGGAATCTCAACTGACCAGATCTCCTGCCCTCACAACGTGGCTGGCCGACCTGTCAGGCCTTACATCTTCTCGTCTACGTCCAGCGACAGGCAGGTGGAGGAGTACGTCCGTCACATCTTGCAGGCGATGGGGGACGTCGCGGCTGAGTTCCCGGAGAATCTCAACAGGAAGATAGCAATCCTTGCGCATGACAAGCTCGTGAGGATGAACTTGATGAAGACCTTGCAGCAGCATCTCAGTGCCGACAGCAGCTTCGGATCAAGGTTCAAGCTGATTGCCGCGGTCGATGCATGGAAGACGGTGCGCTCGAGCTACGTGGAGGGTGAGGAGGAGAGGGTCATCTTTGACACGGTTGAAAACTTCGACGGGATGGAGAGCAAGGTTGTCATCGCGGTCGGTCTGGACGAGGATGAGAACGGTGCTGACCCCAACCTGCATCGCTCGCTGCTGTACCGAGCCATCACCCGCACGCTGAAGGAGGGAGTAGTGCTGCTGGTGAACCATCGTGTCGAGCGAGGCTTCCTCTCCTTCTTGGATGCTCTGCAGTTTGCGGACAAGTTTGACGCGGAGGATGAGAAGAAAAAAATCAACAAGATGCCATGGGAGCATCTAGGGGAGGTACGAAGAGCAAAGAGCTCAGAGAGCGAGGGAGAAGCGGGAGCAGGAATGAGGCCTGGGAGAAAGGTTGAGGAGGAGGCAACGAAGGGAATGGGATGGAATGTGAAGGAAGAAAAACGATCATCATTCCAGTCAAGGCAAGAATCGTCATGGACAGAGTCATCAACATCCTCCTCCTCCTTGTCATCATTTCCGACATCCTTGTCAAAATCTCTGCCTTTCTCACCCCCCAGCAAACAAGATAAACCAAGTGAGTGCCTTCTCCTCCCTCTCTTCAGCTTCCCTTCTCCTCCTCCTTCTCGATTTTTTTTCGCTCTCCCTTCCCTCCCACTTCTCCCCCTCCCTCCTCCTCCCCTTCTATCCCTTTTTCTCAGCGCAGATGTCTCCTCCCTCCTCCTCCTCCTCCCTCCTCCTCCCTCTCCTCCTCCCCCCTCCTCTCGCTTGCAACCCTCCTCTCGAACTGACTGCGTCGCTTCCTCGCAGAGCCTTGCCACTTCTGGTTCAAGAACGGGCGGTGCAGGTACGGCTCTCAGTGCCGCTTCTCGCACGTCAGAGAGGACGAGGACGCGTCAAGAGCGAGGGCGATGAATCGAGAGGAGGTCAACTTTGACTCTTCTCCCCTGCCTTTTCACCAGCTAGCTGGACAGGTGCATCGAGGAGGAAGCGAACAGAGCTCCGTTCCCGCCGCCGCCGCCGCCGCCGCCGCCGCCGCCGCCGCTGTCCCTCCTCCTCCTGCTCCTCCTGCTTCTTCCTTACAGATCGTTCAGTCGGTCTGGGATACAAGGAAGCACGAGCGAGGAGGAAGTATCCCTGCCTTCCAGCCCTACCTACCAACACCCGAGAGCCAATCAGAGACAGCAGCAGCAGCAGCAGCGGCGGCGGCAGGAGCAGCAGCAGCAGCGGCAGGAGGAGCAGCAGCAGGAGGGCAGGTAACAGAGAAGGTGTCTCAAGCGGAGCTGCAAAAGGCGATCAGAGTCTACAACGAAATCTTCACCAAGACTATCCGCGAGTCAGACGATCCAATCCACGTCTCCCGAACCCTCCGTGGGCATCTAGTGTATGACGAGGCGAGGGGGTGGGAGTACTGCCCTGGTCTTTCCCTCTCCTCTTGGCCTGCTAACTGCCCCCTCCTCCACCTCGCAGCCAAGTACGGAAGGCACAAAGTTACCCACGTGCTCCTCTCGGAGTTTGGAGTGGACGTGAGCTGGAAGGACAGGAAGTCAAGCAACACTGCTCTGCACATCGCCTCCTACTACGGGCAGAGGGCCGTAGTCGAAGTTCTGCTAGAGCACAGGGCGGACCCAAGGAGCAAGAACAAGCTCGGGGAGACGCCGCTGGACAGTCTGCAGCAGCAGGCGCGCCGTCGCGCAAAGGCATAGACAGCGACCGGAAGAACTTCAAGGAGAACGACCGTCGTGGGCTCTTCCCTCAATGGGAGGAGACGACTCGGCTGTTGACGGAGATGGCGAGCCGCTGAGCTGACCGTCCGACTGTCGGAGCGCCGGGCTCCTGGCCCAGTGGAGGCCGGTCAGCAGGCGGGGCCCTGCCCGCGGGGCGCGTTCACCGCTGGCTGGCTAGTCGTGAAGTTGCTGAGTAAATTTACGACACTGAGTGACGGAGGCGTTGGACGCGCAGCCGATATAAGGCTTATTGCTGCGGTTATCACTGCCGTTATTTCTGCCGTTTGTTGCAACAACGGTCGCTGTTGCGGCCGCAGCAAGTCAAACTGGTCTGCCATCTTTCGCTGCAGCCTGCGAGAAACAAGATACGCATGGGGGGAATTCCGGTTAGCCGGAGGACCGGGGCCAATATTGTCTCAAGACCCCTACCTTATGATTTATAACCCCTACCTACTGCTTGACTTTCGGTTGCCTTCATGTAAGTACTATCCACCTTTTCACTAGTAAGATGATTGATAAATCTCTTACCCTGACACATCAAAAGTTTTTCTTATAACCCCTACCCATTAAAGAAGTACCCCTACCCCACTTGACTGAATCCAAAAAAGGATGTTTTTGAGTTGACATTTCGACAAGGGTGGGTAGTGAGAAGGTGCTGACGCACTGGGGGTGGGAGGGTACTCCCAAATGACCCACCCTGTCATCTGGACTATCAAGTCCAAATTACAGATAATTTTTGAATTGAATATATGAAAAGCTTCTCTAAATTATCAAGAACTTGAACAATATTTCCAATTTTGTGTACCCTTTGCCCTCAACCCCCTCTGACGATGTACCGTACCTGCCCTTGAAGGAGCCACGACGTCAATAACCCCTACCCCTCCGGCCCCCTAATCTCGGCATTAGGCGTACTTGTATGAAAAATGCTACCACCCCTCCTTATTCAATTGCCGTACCCTACCCTACATCTTGACCCACTCTGACAGAATCAGTGATACCACCCCTCTTTGGAATTGTGATACGACCACTGAGTATCCAGGGGATCCGAGGGGGTGGGGTGATACACTGATACGGCAGCCAAAGGAGGGGTGCTTTCATAGTCGGAGCAAAGGGTGGTTGGAATGGTAGGGGGTAGGGGGTACAAAGCAACGAGGGAACCAAGGGATAAAGTGGGGTCCGATTGGGGATAAGGTAGGGGTGGGGTACAGTAGGAGCAATATGGGTGGTTGGAGACTTCAATTATTATTGAAGGGGATGCGAAACATGCGGCAAGGAGCGATAAAAGGCCAAAAGGGAAAAGTTGGAGGAGTTGGAGGAGTGGGAGGAGTGGGAGGAGTGGGAGGAAGTAGGAGGAAGAAGTACGAAGGGAAGGAGGAGGAAGGAGTAGGATCTTGAAGAGAGCGAGGCCAGGAGGAGGGACAGGAGGAGAGGATGGGGGTAACCAGGTTGATGCGACATGCAAGCGTGAGGGAAGCGTTGAATTGATGAGGAAACGTCAAAGAGCAGACGATGGGATCAGAGCAAGGATGAAGAGAGAATATTCTATCAGTGAGGGCAAGGCAGGACAGAGAAACGGAAGGCAAGGGGGTTGAACCCAAAGGGCTCCGAGCTTGTAGACGGAGAGTATTGGGTGGGATGTGCTGGGAATCAGTGTCCACGAGTGAGCGAGGCAGAGTTATGATAGACATGGCAGAAGAGGAGGATGGTAGGAAAGGAAGCTAGGATATGACATGATGAGAAGGTGACTCCCTCCATCACGCGAAAGTCTTCCATAGATTGAATATTCCTACCAAAGTCGGTGATCAGGATTTTGTTTTCTTCCAGGTTCAAGTTCTATTTTGTTAGATCATCAGAGTCGGCCATGGAGAACTTCATGACACTCTTCGACGATAGAAAGGTGAGTGATGCGCGCCTCACCTGAACGCCTCGTGAGATCTGATCATGATTGAGTTCTGATATATCTTTTCAACAGACTGCCAAAGAAAGCGAGACTACCGTCCCTCACGATCTCGTCAAGCAGTGGGTTCGGCATTGAGATCTCCTTACTACCATGAGCTGATCGACTGTAGGATAACATCATGTCGACCATCTTCAGTAAGCCTTCAAACTTGGATGGAGGATTGAAAGAGCGAGATGTCAGATCGCAGCCCCACAACAACAGTGAGCGCTTGTTTGTGTCTTGTGCTCTTGTAACAAGGATGTCTGTTTTGGCAGCGATGGAATCGTCGCAATCGTCGGCATCAAAACTTGACCCGAAGCGGATGAAAGGGGAGAAATCCAACCCGGTCAGCAAGGACAGCAAACAGAGAAAAAGTCCCACCATCAAACCAGCGACAAGATCGTTGAGTGCTGAAAAGGGAGACAAGAAATTTGTCAAGTTTAAGTTGGAAAGTGAGACGATAGAAGATGTATATGGAAGGGAAGCATACACAACCGCGCAGAAAGAGGAGGTAAGATATGGTGACACGTTGATTGTTGTGACGATGATGTATTCGACAACAACTATGATCTGATGATAACGATGATATGATGATAGTGACAATCTGATGACAGGAAATCCTTCTTCATAAACAGCGCAATGAACAGATTGGTGACATATATGCCATCGCGGCTCTTCATGCGCAGCAGGTAGAGATCCGGCCTGTCACCTAATTTTCTCTTATCATCCTCTTACTCCCCTTCTGCTCTTTCTCTGTCTTCTTCCTCCCTCCTCTCTTGATGTATTCTCATCCTTTCCTCGCCTATCTCCGTAGCCTTGATGACCTCATCCTTCCTTCCTCTCCATCCTCTGCTCTTCGCTCTCTCCTCGCGTTTGTCCTCTGAATTTTCCACCTCGTTTTTCACTTCACTTTATTTCACTTGTCTCCTCTCCTCATCCTCTTCCCTCCTCTCCTCATCCTCTTCCCTCCTCTTCCCTCCTCCCCTCCCCTCCCCTCTCCTCCCCTCTCCTCTCCTCTCCTCTCCTCTCCTCTCCTCTCCTCTCCGTCCTCTCCTCATCCTCTTCCCTTCCCTTCTCTTCCCTCCTCTCCTCTCCTCTCCTCTCCTCTCTCTCTCCTCTCCTCCCCCCCCCCCCTGTCCTCTTCATCACTGACAGCTCGCAGGCCAAACAGGCTGCTGCTCGTTTTTCCGATGAGCCGTCGGAATCTCATTCCAACTTCGAGCTCACACGTCAGAAAAAATCAAAAAACAGGGAGGGGAAAATTTCGGAGACTAACGCGCCGATTCCTACTCTAGCCCGTCGGCCCTCAAAGGAAGACTTCGACACTAACAAGTTTGTGATGTTGTAGATGAAGAGATTCAAGGAGATTGTAGGGAGGTTGTCGATTGCACCGCGTCTTTCTTTCTCGTTGTTGTAATATTTTGTAAGTTTTGAATTCAACTGTCACGAACGCTACCATCTAATCTTCGTGTTAATCTTCGAACTGTTTCTATCTCAGTTAAAATTTTTCCTCTTTCACTCAGCTCGTCTCTTCTTCTTATTCATCATCATCATCATCATCATCATCATCATCTTTCTTTGTTCCACGCTCTCGTTGCAGATCTTGTGACTATTTCCACATCTTTCTTACGGGCTGTAGAGGGAGGACGAGGGAGCGGAGGACCACAGCATACAACCGACTTTCGTCCCATCTTGCGATTTGCCAGTCCCTCTGCAACCAAACATGTCAGGTGTATCCGCTACATCACAACTGTGAGCAAGAACCTGGAGCTGTTTGTTCCATACATGTTCACTGTTCTCATGGACAAGGAGGCTTCGTGCTTGCTGGTGTCTTCTCTGTACCATTTTGACGTGTTCGCCATGTTCTCCTTATCTCTGAGATCGCTCGATGCTTGTGAACTCTTCTTCTTTATCTTTTTGCGAGTCATGATTGTGGTTTCAGGAGATCTCTTGTTACCTTTGTAGAATGTTGCTTCTCAAGATGTTTCACTGCATTGAACATCTCCTGCTCCATACATGAGCTGATCCCTCTTCCTCCTCCTCCTCCTCTCATCCTCCTGCTACCTCCTCCTCTCATCCTCCTCCTCCTCCTTCTCCTCCTGCTACCTCCTCCTCCTCCTCCTCCCATCCTCCTCCTCCTCTTCCGCCTCCTTCCCATCCACCCCCTCTTCTCCTGCCTCCTGCCTCCTGCCCTGTTCAATCTCTGCATTGCGCTGCTGTTTCTGTCCCTCTCCTGTCCTGTCCTCTGTCCTTCACCTGAGCTTTCTTGGTCTCCCGCCTGTTGGTGTAGATCTTCCCCAGACGTCTGCAAGGCGTCACAACGTGTTCAATCTGAGGCGTGACTCACGTCAAGATCATACACTGCTCTTCCCACCGCAACGTGTGTTGCAGCTTCGCAGTCAGCTGCCGGATCTCAGCTTGCTGATGCAGCGAGTCGAAGGTGAGAAACGATCCAGTTTGGAGGAGGAGGAGGAGAGAGGGAGGAGGCAGGAGGAGGAGAAGGAGAAGGAGGAGAGAGAGAGAGGGAGGAGGCAGAAGGAGGAGAAGGAGGAGGAGGGAGAGAGAGAGAGAGAGAGCGAGAGAGAGAGAGAGAGAGAGAGAGAGAGAGAGACAGAGAGACAGAGAGAGAGAGAGAGAGAGAGAGAGAGAGGGAGGGAGGGAGGGAGGGAGGAGAAGGAGGAGGAGGAGGAGGGGAGAGAGAGAGAGAGAGAGAGAGAGAGACAGAGAGAGAGAGAAAGGAGGAAGTGAGGGAGGAGGAGAGGGAGGAGGAGGAGAGGAAGAAGCAGCAGCAGCAGGAGCAGGAAGGTACCTGCAGCACTTGGTTGTAAAGGAGGTATTTCTTCTCAATTTCATCGCAGATATCTGACGAACTGTCTGGCAGTTGAACCTGCAAGGACAAG